GAACAGGGGACTGCCCCTCTACCGGGTAGCTGCTCTGGGTTCAGCTAGAGAGCTTCTTGACCTGAACGTTACCCCACGAACATGGCACTTTGACACTTTTTAAACCAATTTATGCTACAGATGGCCACCGTGCCTTGGGACAAGGAGTTCCATAACTTAGTTACAACCTGTATGAAGGAGTACTTTGCTTTAGGCTTATCGCAAGAAATACTGAGTTAGGAATAACAGTCATCTCTGACATATCCTCCATGCCTTCCACGATAAACCTTTCTAATAGTCCTGCCCTCTTCACTTCTTGAAGCTGGTCCTAGTGTTTTTTGTCTCTTCTCATCAAAAGTCATGTCATACCTCTAACTATCTTTACTGCCCTTCTCAGTATATTGTTAACAGGGACCTTCAAAAATCACCAGAACACTTTAAGCCAGTAGGAACAAAACTTTTTGAATATCTTGGGTCAAAGCTTTTCCATAACACCCTTACCAAGATTTTGTCAGCTTTGGCTTCACTGATGCCTTTAATATTTAGTAGCTCCTTCTTTGGCGCATAAGCAACAGCCTCAACCGTGTGAAATCCAGCTTCTTCTAATTTCTTCACATCATTTGCGTTTATACCACATTGCTGAAAGGGAGGGGAGAAAAAATGACACACTAAGACACAAATACCTTGTTCTAACTTCCGCTGAATACCTTCAATTAGCTTCATCAGATTTGGATCAAACTCTGTTATTACAAGTCAGCATAGTGAATGTTACCTCCCTATTTACTTATACACAAAGAACCATGAAAAATAATGTCCTTTTCCCAGTGTAATGTTCGCGTAAGCTGTTTAGCTATACAGATGGCATAGAACAGGCAGAAGATAGCATTCTCTGGTTCAGTAGATGCCAGAGGCAACCAATACTTGTCAGGAAAGGGAAGACAGCAAGGCAACGTAACAGAACACGTAACTGTTAACATGATGGGTTTTTTGTTTTGTTTGGGGATTTTGTGACGGAACACAACTACGAATTTAGCGACACAATCTTCAGATACAACTTGCATTTAAGGAAAAAGAGCAGCAGAGTTCTTGAAAACTTCCTCTAGAGCTAACTCCTTACCTACCTCTAACCTAGCTATGAGCTGTGGCCCAAAGCTCTCTTCCTCTGCCGACGTATCCGCATTTGCTTCGAACTGCATCTGCATCGCCATCGCACCAAGTACCGAGTGCAGCCCCGCTGGAAGAAAACCAAGTAACTCTGTGACACAACGAACGCCGTTCAAACAAGATACACGTGCAAAGCGTTTCAAAACGTATTAACAGGTCACCCAAAGCAGCACGCGATGGTTTCCTCCCCTTCCGTATCTCTTGGCTCGTGGCATGCGAGCGCTGCAAGAAATACCTTTTGTGTGCTTTCCTATGGGGTATTAAACATTAAAAACAAAAAGCCCACCAAGTAACTCTCGCGTTACCGGGTGAGGAGTAACAAGAGGCTTAACGGGGGCGTGACACAACGGAGGGCAGCTGCTGGGGCGGTGCCCCATCGCGGCAGGGCGCTACGCGGCCGCAG